CGGGGGGTGCCGGGGGGGGGGGGGGCCCTTGGCTGTGGGGGGCCCCCTGCCTGTCGTCTCTTCTTGGATCTCACCTTCCACACTTTCTGGGACACCCACTCTCTTGGAGTTTCCCCTCCTGCTACACCCTGACTCCCCTTCCTCTGAAAGACCCTATGCGTTGGGCTGTGTCCGGCTCCCTCACTGCTTCCCTCCTTGCCTGGCTCTCTCCTTGCCACATGCGCGTGCGCACACCCACACAGACACACCCTGGGGAGACCAACGCCATGCCGAAGGCGGCTCCCAAAATGCGCCTCTCTACTCCAGACCCAGGGATCCCACTCCCTTCTGGATGCTTCCCTCTGGAGCATCCACAAGCACAGTTCATCTAAACCTGTAGCTCATCATCCCGCCCTACCTCCTGAAACTTGGTCTGGCCCCTTCGGAGGCACCACCAAGCCTGAAACTGGGAATGACCCTCAGCTCCCCCCGTCCCTCACTCCCCACGCCCAGCTCGTCAGTGTTCTAGTGACCATGTCCCGTCCATTTAATCCTCCTAAATATGGCTCAAGCCCATCCCCTCTGCCCTGCCCTGCTGCAGCCCGCGTCCCCAGCTGTTATAGCAGCTTCCCCATGACCTCCCTTTCTCCGGTCTTTGTGCTCCCCTTTCATTCTCCACGCTGTCCAGAGGTGTTTTCTTGAATGCAAATCTGACCCTGTGACTCCCCTGCTTAGAAGAAGGCGTCAGTGGTTGTTTGTTACATTCAACCTAGTTCCTGGCATTCTAAACAGTGATTCACTGGCTGTTCATTAACACACAGGGTGACTACTCTAGCCAAATGTCGTGCCATAACACTCTGAAGACACCAAGTTGGGGTAGGACAGACAACAACTGTCTAGGTATAGGAGGCGTCACTCACCTCCAAGCCACGTTCCCCTACGTCATCTTGAGACCCCGTCGTTGCACGGCTGTGTGTACCACCGATGGTAGTGGGCACACACATACACACACAGGAAGCAGGGACGAGACGTGGTGTCTGGGTGCTACCACTGGCAATAGAAAGGGCTGCCCAGGAGGTCTTGTGAGCAGCCGTCTGGTGGCTTCTGGGCAGGGACGCTGTGGAGGGGCTTCCAGCTCACGCCCTGGCTTCTGGGGACCCTCCATCTCTGAGACTTTGCTCCAGTCTTCCGGCTCCTTCTTTCTTGACATCTGTGGAGCCAAACTCCAGCACCCCTGGCTTCCTGTACTCCTGGGGGAGGGCAGGAGGTGGGGAGAAAGGAAACCCAGTATGGCCCTTGGCCCCGGGGCCTCGACAGGTACTTGGGTCATTCTCAGTTCCTGAGCTGGAGGGTCTCATGGGCTCCATGGGATCTTGGGAGTTGAGGGCCCAGGGGTTCAGGGCCCCAGACTTGGACCTTCCACCTGGGGTGTCCTTCTTTTGCCCTCTAGAGCAGGGCTGTGTTCACTTACTTCTCTCCCTGGGATGGGTGGAGAGGGATCAGAAGGTGTGTGCAGAGGCCTCTGACCAAGCCCAGATCCTGTCCCAGCTTCCAGGGACCACCTCTGGGGCCAAAAGGAGGAGCTGAACTGGGTCAGGTCAGCTGGGCTGGGTGGGGAAGGCTGGGACTGGGACCCTCAGGCCCTCTGTTGTGATCCGCATGAGAGAGGCTGCATTTAGAGAGTTGCTGAGCTGGGCAGGGAGTGCAGGGACAGAAGCCAGGGCTGTGCCCCAAGACTGGGGCCCCGGGGTCTGGCTTGGCTGAGTGGGGACAGGTGAGGGGAAGAACAGGAAATAGGCCAGGCTCTCCGGGAGGGGACCTTTCCCTAGCCTCTGGGATTTTCCCCGTGTCCCTGAGCCAGCCAGCAAATTAATTAATCCCACCTTCAGCCTTCCCTGAGGCCCCACCCACTGGGCTCATTCAAGGCAGGAGAAGAATGTGTCACTCCTATCCCCGGAGCCCAGCCCCGCTGCCAGCAAGGGGAGCTGACCCGAGACTCCGGGAGGCCTGAGGCCTGGAGGTGAGGCCTCCATTCTCCCCACATCTCCCAGGACCTCAGACCCACGGTCTCTGGAAGATGACCTCGAAAGCCAGCCTGAGTGGGCCGGGCTCCAGCCAGGGGAGGCCAGGCCTGGCACATTACCATGGGAGGGCGGGCAGGTTCGCTCCACCTTCCCTGCCCCCTCCTCCCTCTCCTTCCTTACTAGCACCTCTCCTCCAGGGCCAGACGGAGACCAGGCTGATCTCAGCAGACACCGACAGGCCCCAGGGCAGCTCCAGGACCCCAAATTCCAGCAGCCGGAGAGAAGGCCCAGGAGCTGCCTGCAGCCATGTCAGCCCTCGGCCTGGTCATCCTGGGCCTGCTCACGGCAGTGCCACCCGCCAGCGGTCAGCAAGGTAGCACAGGCCTGGGCCAGCCTGGGGTGGGGGTAGGGGCTGCAGTACAGAGAGGGCCGGCCTGGGTGCTGGGAGCCCCGGGGTGGAAGGGGTGGCCTTCTGGCCCGTCTCATCACCCTTGGCACCTACACGGAGGCGGGAGCAGGGATGGGCTTAGCCAGAGGAACCTCCAAAGGCAGACACAGGCTTCTGTCTGTGACTTGTTTCCCACGAGTGAGAAGTGGGGGCAGCAGGGGAAATATTGGATCTAGGGTCGGGGAGGGGAGTTGAGACCCACGTTCCAGGAGCAGGAATTGCCCTAGAGGTGGCTGGTTGCTGAGGACAGAGCGTTGGGGGCTATAAGGGGGGTGGGAGTAGTGTGTGAGCCACTCTCAATGGCAGGATTGTTTCAGGGGCGGGCAGTGCTGTCAGGCGTTTGCCCATGGCTTTGGCCTAAGTTTGTTTCCGCTTCCTACCCAGAAGACAAGTGTCCCAGTGTGGCCCCCACCACGTGCCTGAGCTCTTTGTCCAGCTCTGCCTCTGTCTTGCTGTGTGGCCTTGAGCAGGTCACTGTCCCTCTCTGAGACTCAGTTTTCTCATCCATAACATGAGGACAATAAACCTGCCCCACCCACCTCCCAGGGCAGCTACCACTCAGGGGTGGGGAAGGGCTTCACATTGGTAAAGCACCACACCCCCCCATCCGGTGTCAGCCCTGAGCTGTGGGCACTCTGCAGGTGGGATTTGGGTCCAGAGCGGGTTGGCAGAGGTGCTCCCAAGGCACCCCTCCTTTGCAGATGCCCTGAGCTCTCACGCATGTCTGCTTCAACTCTGTCTCTCAGGTCTTAGAAGCCCTCTGTGGGAATCGAAGCTCAGAGGGGTGGAGCAACTTGTGTGGGTCACACAGCAGAGCAAGAAGGGACAGGGCTCAGATCACCTCTCTCCTGCCCCAGGCTCTGCCCCTTATGCTATATGTTCATCCCAGAGCCACCTGGAAGGAGGAGCAGTGTCCCTGGTGTGTCTGGAAGGAATTGGCTGCAGGGTCTGGAAGAAGGAAGGACAAGCTTCCCAGGGCTTAAGCCCTAACTCCCAGTCCTTGAGTAACCACTGACCTGAGGAGACAATGGGTGTGAACCATTGTTTTGGGGGGAAACAATGAGTCCAAAATACAGCTTTTTGGCAAGTATGGAACTTACAGTAAGCATACTGCGTATCTTTTGTTACCCAAGGAGATAAGCAAGGGCTGATCTGGCCGCAGGACAGAGTTCCCGGAGCCCTCCCTCCTTCCCAACACCTGCCAGGCTCAGAGAGCGCTTGGAGAAGAGGCAGGGCCTCCCTGCAGCAGGAGAGCTTTTGGATAGACTCAAGGAAGGACTTCTGAGCGGGAGTGAGGCAGAATGAGATTTTTGATGTTCAGTCTGGGCCCCTCAAGATACAGGATGGCACTAGGGATGCAGGTGTTTTGGCCTGGAGGCAGGACTCTTCAAAAGTCTCCTGTTGGCCCCTGTCCCCTCCTGATACCTCTAACTGCTACTGTGTGTCTGTCCTCTGCGGGGCCGGGCCCCCTCGGGCTCACAGAGCACAGTGATGTCCGGAGAGAGGAGAGCCCTTTGGGGCTGCCAGTGGCTGAGGGCAGAGACTTCTGGGAAACCTGAGGGTTAGAGGTGGTGTCAAGGGTCAAGGGGCAAAAGGCAAAGAAGGTACCTGGAAGGGGCCTCAAATTGGTCTCTGGCCCAGTCAGTCCCTGGGGCGCTGAGCCAGAGAAGACAAAAGGGGCTCAGGTTTGAAGCTCCCCTCCCGGCCCCCAAGACCCAGAGGAGAGCTTGCCCCTCTGTCTTGACTTTCCAAAGACGTTCTGTCCCACCCCTTTCTCTGGGCACTCCTGGCACCTCGAGCCAAGCAGCCCCTTCCGCCTGCACTCCCACGCCTACCCAGCCCCACAGAAACCTCTTACAAAACAGGATCTTCCAGATGCCAGCCTAGTCCTATTAGTTCTGGGCTGCCTCAGCCTGGGAGCCGGGGAGGAGGGCAGCCACCCTCACTGGAAAGGCCAAGGCCGTCTGTTCAGGGGCTGCCCTTTGGCCCCTGGGGCCTAGGCACTCCCCGGGGGCCCTGCACTGGCCCACTGCAGCGGGGGAGGGGTGGGGGGGTGAGGGGCGCTCTGGGCTGCCTGGGCCTCAGGTGCTGCTCTCAGGCTTGTTCCCTCCTCAGCTCCTTTCCTTCTTCCCAATCCTGTCTTCCTCCAAAAGCCACGGTCCCTTTTACAAGCCCAGGGGTCAGGTGGGTCCTCGTTCCCCAGAAGGTCTCCACTGGTCCCGGCAGCGGGCTGGTAGCCTCTAACCAGCCCCGGGGGTCGTGAGGCCCCACCTGCACTGGCAGCCCCACTGTGCCCAGCCCGCTGCAGCACCCGCCCCCCACTCCTCCCTTTCCAGGCCTGGGGAACCTGCAACCCTGGATGCAGGGCCTTATTGCCGTGGCTGTGTTCCTGGTCCTCGTCGCAATCGCCTTTGCCGTCAACCACTTCTGGTGCCAGGAAGAACGGTGAGTGCTGTGCGGGGGCCCTGGGAGCTGGATCGGCGCAAGCCGGGAGGTCCCAGGACCACGGCCACTGCTCTGGTAGCAGTGAGAAGGGCCGCAGAAACCCTGAGCCCATTCCTCTCACTGTGTGGAAGGGGCACTGAGGCCCCAGGTCTCAGGGACCAGAGCTGAGGCTTGCTGGAGCCCTGCGAGCACACTGGCTGCGCTTCGGGGAGCCGTCTTCTCTTCTTGGAGTCTCAGTGTTTCTATCTGTATAGTTGGGACAGTGGCCCGTCTGTGATGGATGCTGTGAAAACCCCTGGACAGGAATGTTCTGCCCTTCTTCAGGGTCTGCTGCTGTGTCACATGCAGGGGCTACAGAGGGGCAATGGGACGGACACTACTCTTGTGCTCACAGACTCCCAGACCAGAAGGGAAGGCAAACATGGAAGGGGTGATCGCAGTGTGAGTGCTGACGCTAAAGGAGCAGGCAGAATGCAGTGGGGGCCTGAGCCGGGGGGGGGGGGGGGAGGGG